AGAAATTCTTTCCAGTGAGGGTGGTGAAAGCCTGGCAGGGGTTGCCCAGAGAGGGGGTGGAGGCCCCATCCCTGGGACCATTCCAGGCCAGGTTGGCCGGGGCTGTGAGCAACCTGATGTGGTTCAAGGTGTCCCTGCTCCTGCAGGGGGGTTGGGCTGGGTGACCTCTGGGGGTCCCTTCCCACCCAAACCATTCTGTGATTCTATGATTCTATGATGTCATCGCTCTTTTGCCAGGTGACAAAAAATGAGTCCTGCTTCTCTGCAGAAGCCGGCAGATCAGCAGAAAAAAAAAAAATCCTCCTGTGAGCACAAACTGGGGGAAATAAGGAGCAATGCCAGCTAAAAACCGGACACCCACCGGCTGCTGCCCTCGAGGATGTTCCCATCCCCTCCCGAGGAAGGACCAGGCGGGACCAGCCCCTACCTTGCCCGGAGAGCACTCGGTCCCATCCAAGGGTGGCCCCTTCTTGGTCTTGCAGAAGTAGGGGTTGTCCGGGTGGCTGCACCACAGCTGCTTGCAGGGGTCGAAGGTGCGGAACTGGGGAGCACAGAGGAGCTGGGCTGGGACGGCAGCAGGGAGCTCCGGTGGGCTCTTGGCACCCCCGGTGGGCTCCCGGCACCCCCTTCTTGCCCCAGCAGCACCAGGCTGGGGGGTCCCGGGGTGGGCAATAGGGGCATGCAGCCGGCACGGGCTCCCTACTCACCGCCGTGCACGTTTTGTAGCCCACGCCGAAGTCGAAGCGGCACTGCTCGTCCATGGAGTAGTTAATGCCCGGCAGCTCGGGTAACGTGGGCCACTGGTGCTCGAAGGGGTCATCCAGGAGGCAGTCGTAGGAGCTGCAGAGACGCGGGGCAGAGGCAAAGCCGAGTCGGACACGGAGGATTTCCCTCCTTCACCCCTTCCCCCACCGCCAGCCCCCTCTCCAGATTCAGATATGGAGAAATCTGAATTCTCTTGGCACAGATGCTAACTACCCGCCGCTGGAAAAAATGTCTTCAGCAAAAAAAACCCAACTGCATGGATGTATTGGGTTTGCATGGCAAGGTTTTGGCGGGGGGGGAGCAGGGGACAACTACAGGGGTGGCTTCTGTGGGAAGCTGCTAGAAGCTTCCCCGAGGTCCAACAGGGACAACAACAGCATATCCAACAGCAATATCCAACTGCAGCCAGAGAGGGGAGTGAGAACACGTGAGAAGAGCAGCCCTGCAGACACCAAGGTCAGTGCAGCAGGAGGGCAGGAGGAGCTCCAGGCACCAGAGCAGAGATTCCCCCACAGCCCATGGGGAGCCCATGGTGAGGCAGGCTGTGCCCCTGCAGCCCAGGCAGGTCCACGGTGGAGCAGATCTCCACCCGCAGCCCAGGGAGGTCCACGGTGGAGCAGATCTCCACTCGCAGCCCAGGGAGGTCCACGGTGGAGCAGATCTCCACTCGCAGCCCAGGGAAGACCCCACGCCGGAGCAGGGGGTGCCCGAAGGAGGCTGCGACCCCATGGGAAGCCTGTGCTGGAGCAGGCTCCTGGCAGGACCTGGGGACCCGTGCGGAGAGGAGCCCAAGCTGGAGCAGAGGAAGAGTGCGAGGAGGAAGGAGCAGCAGTGACAGCATGTGATGAACTGACCGCAGCCCCATTCCCCGTCCCCCTGCACTGCTGGTGGGGAGGAGAAAAATCAGGAGTGAAGGTAAGCCTGGGAAGAAGGGAGGGGTGGGGGGGAAAGGTGTTTTTTTAAAATTTGGGGGTTTTTTTGTCTCTATCCTACCCTGATTTGCTTGGTAATAAATTAAGTCAAGCCTGGTTTGCCCATGATGGCAATTGCTGAGCGACCTCCCCCCATCCTTATCTCAACCCAGGAGCCTTTCGTTATATTTTCTCTCCCCCGTCCACCTGAGGAGGGGAGTGATCAGCGGCTTCGGTGGGTGCCTGGCATCCAGCCGGGGTCAACCCAGCACAGCGCAGAAAGCTGCTGGCCTGTTTCTACACTCTCCTCTTTTTAATGCAGCACACGACATTTTATAGCCTGAAGGACAAACCACACAGACTGCCCAAAGCAAACGGCAAAAATATTTGAGATCCAGATCCGTGGCTCCACCAGTAGAGGTCTTCTGCAAATTATTGCTCTGTTGTTGACATCTCCGGCTTTTACCAAGCTCCTGTTTGCCTCCAGCCTCCGCAACCAAAACCAACTCAGGCTTGTGCACGGAACCAGAGCCGTTAGTAGAAGAAAAAGGGAAAACAACCTCCCAAGGACCCGTTTTTGCTAATCCTGCCAAAACAAGCAATCCCAGCGGGGACCTGGCTTCATGCAGGAGCTGCCCAGGTACAAAATGCAGGCAGTCACACCATCCCAAGGGAGAACATCCCCGCCTGGTTAAGCCTGACTTACTGAATGTAGCGGTTGAGCTCCTGCTTGCTGCAGCGGGACCAGTGGTAGCGGTGGAAGGCGGCCTGGACCAGCGGTGCCATGATGCTCCCCATGCTGGTCTCGTCAGCACAGCGGTTGCCCTGGCCGTCGTGCTCCATGCCTAACCTGGAGGGAAAAGCCATCGTAAAGTTGGGTTCCTGGGGGATTTACATGCCTGCACCAGCAGAAAGCCCCTTTTGCAAAGGAAGGGGCACCCCACGTGTATCCCCCCGCCGAAGGGGCCAGCCAGCTCTGCCCCCGTGACTTAGAGTCATAGAATCACTTTGGTTGGAAAAGACCTTTGAGAACATCGAGTCCAACCTTTAGCCTAACCCTGCCATTCCACCACTAAACCATGTGAAAGAGAAACAGAGTTCATGCTTAGGAGAAAATTAGAAGGGAGAAAAAAAGGGAAGTGAAAAATTAAAAAAAAAAACAAACCAAAAAACAACGCAGCCTGGCTTCACGGCAACAGGAGAAGAACATGAAGAGGAAGGCGCTGAAGAGGAGGAGCTGCCCAGGTCAGTTGGAGGGCAGCCCAAGGACTTGCTCACCAGTACAACCATCCCAGCCACCAGTGCCAAAAGCAGGCTGAGGTTACGCTGTGGCTCACCAGCATCTCTCTGCCCTAGTGCCAACGCACCCGGGCCGGCGAGAGGGCAGCTGAGGCACCCGTGGGTGCTTTATCGGTGCCAGTGCCCACCGCCCCCCAGCCCAGAAACGGCATCCCCCGCATTCTTCTTTATTAAGAAAAATAAAGAAGAAAGGAAGAGAGAGAATGGAAGGCATGAGGGTGTCCCCCAGAACCCCACCAAAAGTACAGCCTCGCCCATCGCAGGCTACCGGGGCCATGCACCCCCCCATGCACCCGCCGCAGCCCCCGGCGTGGGGGCACCCCCTGCCCGGCAGAGCTGGGGAGCACCATGCACCCCCCCAGCCCTCGATCAAGTGCAGTGCAGTGGGGCAGCTGCGGGCAGGGACGGCTGCCCCCCCCACCCGTTCAGCAATGAGCCATCGCCAGTTTGCTTTGTTTTCCTTCTTTTTTCACGTTATTTCCGCCCAATTCAACGAATTCCTTGGCACCATCTACAATTTACTTTCCAATTTTTTTTTTTTATTTTTTTTTTTAAAGACCGACCCTTTTTGGCATCGAGGGGAAGGACGTTAGTGAAGGAAGGGCTTACAGGTCTGAGAGGCATCAGCAGGGCAGGCCATGCCACATAACCCGGCCCTGGGGACAGGGATGCTGGAAGAGGGAAGCTCAATGAGCCAAGAGGAAGGCTGAGTTGCCGCAGGAGAGGGGGGCGGGTGAGCTGCGGGTGAACGCACACCCCTAACACCTGCCCTCCTGCACACACTCCGGCCAAAAAACGGGCTCCACAGAGCCCACGGGCCACCATCCTCACAGGCCGCTCGCTCCCGGCCAAGCCAGCACCCGGGGAACAACTCGTGACTTATTGCCCTGGCAAGGAAAGGTGTGATTGCACTTAATCCCTAAGCTGAATGGACACAACAGGCCAAGGACGAGAGATTAATGCAGAAAATAAAAGGTTTCCTACAGCTCTGCCCTAAAGTCGACGTTACCTGACCTGTGGCTGCGCAATGCGGATCAGATGCCTGACGGGACAAGGGATGGGTGGCTGCCATCGCCCCTGCCAAAGGCAAAACCAAGGGGGTTGGGGCGAGCGTTTCCCTCAATATTTCTATTTACCAGCTGAGTGGAGATTTTCCAGGTGTGCCCACCTGCACTGGAACTTCTCAAGGAAACTTCTCTAATTTAATTTTTCAAAACAAGCCCAGGCAAGAACTTTTGAAGGGCTCACTCACGCGGTATTTTGTGGGAAGCGATGGATGCGTTTTTGCCCATGCTCCCAGTGAAGGAGAGGTCAGGTGAACCCAAATTGCCAAGCAAAAAGTCTAAGATTAAATAAACACCCAATTCTCATTACCTGCAGAGCGAGTTCGCTTCTGCCTGCAACACGCCACGCAACCTCAGCGAAGCCTCCGCGATGACAAGGACCTTCTCAAAGCAGCTTCAATAAACACACTCGGGGTTTCATTTACCAGGGGGAAGCATTTGTTTTTCATCTTCCCCACATTCAAGTGGGCAATGAGGCTGATTCCCACGAACAAATAAACTGAAACACCTCAAGAAAGCAAGCAAAGAAATGACCTGGTCAATGGGCACTGCGGTCCAAAGGAAAGCAAAGGGAGAGCGGCCAAGCTAAGAGCGTGAGAGAATCAGATAATTGGGTTTAACCACACAGGAATGAGTCAAATCCTGGATATGGCACTTCAAAAGCTTTTTTTTTTTCCCCTGCCGTGAGACTTTCCACAAGAAAGAGCAAAGATGTGGAAAGTTTTCTGTACGAGGGGAGAGCAAATGTTTTGTTTAGGATGTAAACGGGATGCATTCCCAACCAAAGAGACTCTGGATGTCTGGAGGGGAGACGGGACCAAGGAAGGATGGGAAAAGGTGGATGCTCAGGAAGGCAGACACTGGTCTCTCGTAATTAAGACCCCAGTGAGAACTGGAAGAGGTATAAAGGGTTCTCCACAGGAGAACGATGGTGAGAAGTAACTACCTGGGAAATACTTAATCGGTAAAGACCAGATTAGCCTGCAAGCGCTTACCGGACACACACCCAGGAGAAGCAGCACGTCCTCACCACACCAGCAAGACACTGGCCAGTCTCTTGCTTCCTCCAATGCACTTTATTTTTCTTTATGGACATTTCCTAGCTGCTTTCAGCCTCTCTGACCTTCTACGTGGACCACCAGCCTGCTCAAAGGCCAACCATGGGTGACTACAGGGCAACAAATGAAAGCTAAGCAAAAGCATCCTTCAGCCTGGGCCAGAAAGCCCTCCGTGCCTGCCTGCTGCAGAGGGACACGGCACTCTCTTCTGGTTCAGACAGGACTTCAGCAGCAGCAATTAATAATTTACAACCCATCTGTCCACTGCCGAGAGGCATTTATTTCTCTTTGAAGAGCAGGGGTTTATTCGCAACCCACGTGCGAGGGCAGCGCAGCTCAGCTCTCCCTCCTGGCCCTTCCCCTTCCCGCCTTCCAGCTTCCCGATTCCCAAAGCAACTGTTGCATCAGCTTTCCAAAATTTCTCCATGTTGGCCATGGCTGCTCCCATCCCCATCAAGAGATGCCATAAGCATACCCTGGAGGTATTTAAAAGCCGGGCAGCCAAGGTGCTCAGGGACAGGGTTTAGTGGTGGGATGGCAGGGTTAGGAGAACAGTTGGGCTTGGGGAGCTTAAAGGGCTTTTCCAACCTAAACAATTCCATGATTCTTAGTTTCTGTAAACTTCCTAAGGGCTCGGCTTAGACCTGCAGTGGGAAGAGCTACACCACAAGACCACAATGCTTTGCAAGGACTTGCATCCAGCTCAACCAGTGCCACGTCAGACCAGACACTGGTCTGGTTTACTGGCCAAGGGGAGGTGACACGATGCAGAAGGAGGTATGAGCCGTGTCTGGTGGGGATGTGGTGATGGAGCACGGTTGGCTTGCTGGCATGGGAATAGCCTGGGCTAAGAGGACCACGTGGGTTAACGAGTCAGATTCAGCCCCGTCTCCGTTACTAATTGGGCTCACAACTGTAAGGAGTGATGAGGCATCAAGCTAAGCACAGGCTTGACATTTAGGCTCTGTTCCCAGGTCCCTGTGACTTGGAGGACTTCATCCTCAAAGGCTTCCTTTCTCCCAGCCTGTTCATTTAGGCTGTAGGGTCTTTGGGGCAGGACCACCTCTGCCTTCAGCTCAGCTTCAGGGTAGATACAAGCAGGGCAGATGCTTCCCAACTGACACACACACCCTACAGCAGTGGCTAAAGAAACCGGCAGGTATTTGCCATCACCTCAGCAAGTCGCTTAGATATCACCAATGAACACATGCCATGAGCAAGTATTGGAGGTGCTGCAGTTTGGTCCTTCATTGCATGTAGCCCTGAGCTGAAAAGGGATTATATGGAGCTAAAGGACATCGTTTTGAGAAAAAGAGGCAAGAGCAAGCAAAGTGTTACTATTCCAGCAGCCCAACAAGAGGGCAGCTCCTGATGGGTGAGGAGCACTCACACCTTACGCCATGCAGCACAGCCAGGCAAGGACACGGCAGCCACGGGGAATTCTGCAGAAAGCAAACGTCTGTCCCAGAGATATGTGAAAAGCAGGGAGCCAGATCCACAGGGAAAAGGGGAAGGAGCTGGAACGAGCATCGCTAGAGCAGGGCTACTCCATCGATCTCACAGCTCCTTCCCACCAAGGGGGAGTCCAGCCAGCCTCCCCCTTCTGCTGACATGCCAAAAAAGGTCCTCTCACCAATGCCTTTGGACACAGTCACTTTGCCAGGAAGGGTCTAGAAAAATGAAACAAAACCTGGTATTTCACCCATGCTGCCGCGTGACTCCAGACGAGGTGCCCAAGGCAGGTCAACGGCTCAGCAGAGAGGCTGTTGGCACAACCTGAGGTCTGCTCTTTGATGGCCAACAGCATGTTCATGGCCAGCAGCACGTTCAAGAGGGCTTCCCAGCTGGATGACTCCTGTCGTTCATCCCCGGCTGTGGGGAGAACCTTTTCAAGGAGGTAACTGAGGCGAGGACAGGACTCCTTCTCCATCTCTCCTTCCTCCCCTGTGCACCAGAAGGACTCGTGCTACAGATCAGTGTGACATTACTGTGGCATCAAAGGGAGCCTCCGGATGGGAATTTCAGACCTTGCCACCAGTGTGGGAAGGAGGAGTTGGCAATTTGGAGGTAGTGGGCTCAGAAGAACTGGGAGAAGTCACTTCTCATGATTGCCACCAAAGCAAACACATTTGTAATGGAGCCGTGAAATGCCGAAAGCTTTTCCTGCAAATTTTTTTAAATTTTTTGCTGAGGTCTCTAACTTCTCAGACCACGTCAGCACAGCCTCTGCACCAAGGGGGTGAGAGGACTATTGCCATCGCTCCTTCCAACCTCCTCTTTGGCCCAGGGTTTACTCAAGGCTCCCATGTCCGGTCCTAAGAGGGCCAAGAAACCAACCCATGTATGGAATCATAGAATCATAGAATCACTTTGGTTGGAAAAGACCTTTAAGATCATCGAGTCCAACCTTTAACCTAACCCTGCCATCCCACCACTAAACCATGTCCCTAAGCACCTCATC